CACCTTTTGCGATCGTTTGACCCCTTTCCGTTTTAACAGTACAAATTCTGCAAATACAGTCCATATCTCCTCAAAATCATTTCTCCTGCATATTCTCTGTCTTACCTTAATAGCACGTGTTAATCTATCATGAATACAGCTATATCCCACACCTCTTTATACCATTCTTCCATTTTATATTCACCTTGCCCTTTCCACTTCCTAGCTATAATAACTCGTGCAGCTGTAAATTACATTTCTGATGCTAAGGCTCCTAAATAAAAGTATGCAAAGACTGATGTAAATGGAGTAAGTTCCATTAGTACAGAGAGGCCAATTCGAGTTTTAAATTGAAAACTGTTTTATTTCCGCCTTTTCAAGGAGCTTTCAATCACATCTACGCATTGTGAAGTTATTTGTTTCCCTAAAAACAGACACCATAAATCAGTAGTTTAAATCCCTCACAGTAAAACTTCCCCAAACAATTTCATAATTCATTCAAGAACTGAAGTATAATTAAAATGCAAACCTTCATTTTCCAGATATCAAATATTTCAGAAGCCTGTAAACAGTATTACCTTTCTGAACTGAACTTAGTGACAACGCTACAGCTAAGATTGCCAATGCAAATTCTTAGTATAAAAATATTTATATATCTTAACTTACACACAGACACACGCAATTATTATATTCTTTCCTCTGTACTTTTCATACAGCGATGGAATACTAATTCAGTTTTGCTTTTTCCCTTCGCGCCAGTTATTAACAGTGCAATCCTGTAAATGTTTACCCTGATATAAGTCCCACAAAGTTAAAGACGACCTCTTAATCGCTAGCAAATGGGTTCAGGATTGCCGTCCCAAGAGAACTGTAGATTGGCACACCTTCATGTTAGGAATAAAAACAGTCCTCCGTAAGAAAATACAAGTTTTTCCCCCTGAACCTTCAAAAAAGAAATAAGGCACATATAGTTGGATATAATTGCATAGCTCACACAAGCTCATAGTGAGATAGTGCTTCGCACAGAGCTCAGTGTAAATCCAGCTTCAGTGTGCATAGAAAAGGGGGAAAACGTTTTTAGAAAAACCTTTACAAGGTCACTTGTGGTTAAGACACTCTACGCCTCAGCTCCACCATAGAATTTAATGGTGCTAAATCATCACAATACTAAAGTGTCATAGGAATACCTTGGCATATTATGTGCACAGTGGAATCTTACCTACAATAACTTTCCCGTAACTGTTAGTTCTGGTTTAATAGCCATCATTCTGAAGCCGTAAGGGTGGTTTCAGTTCAGTGATTTTGCACGAAAGCGGTCATCATATGACTGTAACACTAAAGTCCCTTTTCACCAACCAGTGGAGCTGCAGTACAAAACATCTAAGGGCATGTCAGAAATTCTGGCATGTCAGAAATTCAATACAGCTTCAAGAAGGGAGGGGGGCACGTCCACAGAGTCCCAACACAAGCAGGAAAATTTCAGAAGGCCCTCTTCCACAGAGATATCGCTCTGCAGCAACTGCAACGTTCACCACCACACTGCAGGTGAAAAGTGATCATCTAAACCTGACTGAAGACACTTGTTTCCATGTGGCGTAGCAGCTATTCTGGCCAGCAAACTCAGCACCTCTGGATGGACTGAGAAGATGAGTTCATTTCTTATTGGCCACAGAACGGACATAGATTTGTTCACTCCGGTGTGCTGTTTTCCCTGCACCTGTGCTTCAAGGTCATAGGTCTTCCTGGCATAGCTGTCAACTTACAGATTTGAAAATAAGGGACCAGCAGCCAAAATAAGGGATTTTCAGAGCACAGGCATGTTCACCTTCTGAGCCCCTCCGAGCCAAAGGCAGAAAGCCCAGCTAGCAGCTAAAACAAAGCCTCAAGCGGTGGTTCCCACAGCGCAGCAACCCGGCAAAGGGGATGCAGCAAGGAAAACCACCGTCACCTCTCCGCTGGGAAGCGCTGAGCAAAGGCGAGTCCCCAGGCAACGCGGCCGATTTGATCGGCACAAGGCATGCAAGCTCCATCCCCCAGTCGTTCTTAGACTCCTTATTGGGAGAGCAACGCAGCCAAGCAACACAGCTGGAGCCTCCCTCCTCCCTGGCCGGCAGGGAGGGAGGGAGGGAGAGGAGCTGCTTCCTTTGAAACCCGGGAAATTTAAGGGACATCATCAATAAGGCACAGCAGCGGGACACGGCACTGGGATAAGGGACTTTCCCGCCAAATAAGGGATGGTTGACAGCTATGCTTCCTGGCACTAAAGAGTCAGGCCATATCTGCACCCTGCGTTAGCAGCAGTCTCGTGACTTCCCCCTGGGAATCCTGGGAAATGTAGTTAAGGGCGCCAAGAGTTGTTAGGCTGGCCAACTCCATTCCCTCACACAGATACGGTTCTCAAAGGGGCTTAACAATCAATCCTTCTTCCCAGAGAACTCGGGGAACCGTGCAGGGTCTCCTCTAACAACGCCCAGCACCTGTACCAAACTACAGATCCCAGGATGCTTTGGGGTAGCCATGACTTTTAAAAGTGGTAACATGGTGCTTTCAATATATAATGCGGCACATTCTTTCCCTCCCCAGATTGGCTTCTGTCTCCCTTCAAGTACCATGAAGGGGTGGCAGGGAATGTGAACAAACATTTCCAGCACCTCGGAAATCCGTATTCTTTGCACATAATAAGGTAAAAGGTAAAGGGACTCCTGACCATTAGGTCCAGTCGTGACTGACTCTGGAGTTGTGGCACTCATCTCACTTTACTGGCCGAGGGAGCTGGCGTTTGTCCGCAGACAGCTTCCGGGTCATGTGGCCACCATGACTAAGCTGCTTCTGGCGAACCAGAGCAGCGCACGGAAACGCCGTTTACCTTCCCGCCGGAGCAGTACCTATTTATCTACTTGCACTTTTTGATGTGCTTTCGAACTGCTAGGTTGGCAGGAGCAGGGACCAAGCAAGGGGAGCTCACCCCGTTGCGGGGATTCAAACCGCCAACCTTCTGATCAGCAAGTCCTAGGCTCTGTGGTTTAACCCACAGTGCCACCCGCATCGTTCTGTCCCGATACCATGGACTGGAGCTTGCAAAATAACCTGCAATTCTTGGCAAACCCTGGATTGTCCCAGCGATGAAATTACAAGAGGCAATGGCGATGAGAAGTAGAAACAGGGGAGGAATAGTAGCTTTGGAAGAAGAGCAGGGAAGTTTTTAGGCACGGCGCCTCTTCTCCCTTGACCACCACAAATGCCATCATCTCTAAAAATGAAGGCAGTCGACAAAAGAGTTAAACGAGGGTGGCATTAGAGGCACTGTTCACACCCATTAATATCCTGTCCAGCCTTCACTGCTGTTCAAACAAGTTTATCAGGTTTTTTAAAACCCTACAGTGACCTGTAAGAGGAGCAGTAACAGGTGCAAAATGAGCAAAACACAGGAGAATTGAGTTTCTCCTCTGTCACCTTCAACTCTGTGTGGTGGTGATCATTTCCTCAGTCCCACAAGTCAAGGTTGCCCCATCAAGAATAAGGATTAGATGTGCCCAGTCTCAGTTTTTAAGACCGAAAGCTGGAATGGCTAACTAAGGTGGCCACATGGCTAGTTCTGAAGCAGAAACAAGGTTCTCTACATACAAGAGGCACAGAGAGAAAAGCTAACAGCTTCAAGCGGCAAGGTTGTCAACCATGATGTTTAGGATTGCTGGCCTTCATAACTTGAGGCTCTGTTGGGAGTTAATTCTCCTACAGTTTCAAGGTAGCCTGGTGCTATGGGTCATGCCCAATTAACAAACACAGCTTAATTAAGATATAGAGAGAGATAGCTAAAGGTTTGTCACTTTACCTGCCAAGAGGCAAGTTCCACAGGTCCCAGAACCATTACCTTCAGAAAGTAACAGTCTTCTTTAAGAAGAATTCACCAATGTCAGCCTTGCTGGCTGGGGCTGATAGATGTCCTTGGCCAGAACATCTGGAAAGCACCAGGTTAGCAAAGCCTGATTGATCTACATACTGTCAACCGTCAGGTGCTTATGACAATGAAACGATGCAGTTTACTCACTGAACCTCTGCCAGACTAGCTACAATACTGCATCGTTGATTTAACAGAGGCAGAGACTTAAAAGGCAAGTATCACACCGATTTGTTGACACTGCTTCTCTGCATATCCTGCCAGCTTCCTGTCACTTCGTAGCCACAGGGGCACAGCCTCTGAGTTCAAGGTTCAGCCTGGGAATGCAGCAATTAGTTAATATTGGCTATGCCACGTTTAAGGAAGTGTGACAACACCTTATACCTTTACCTAAAGATATAGCCCTCGGGGAAATCTGAATTCCATCTGAAGTGCGTTAAGAACCATCCAAAAAAGCAGTTTCTCTCATTCTCTGACCCATCAGTGGATTTTAAAGCGCTACACGTAACTGATTATGTAAACAGTGATAAGGCAGAGATCATAAATAGCTACTATCAGGAATTGCAAATCTTGATATAGAGCAGTATTTCCCAAACATGGGTCTCCGGCTGTTTCTGGACTACAATTCCCATCATCTGTGACTACTGGTCCTCCTAGCTAGGGATGATGGGAGTTATAGTTTAACAACAACTGTAGACTCAAGTTTGGGAAACATCGATAAACAGCCTTTAAATCAGGTGCGAGGAGCCATTGGCCCTCCAGGTGTCAGTGAACTACAATACCCATCATCCCTGGCCATTGGCTGTGCTTGCGAAGGCTGATGGGAGTTGTAGTCCAGCCACATCCAGAGGGCCAAATATCCCCACGCCTGCTCTAGATATTGACGCAGGTGTTTCCGATACAAGAAACAAGTCTGGTTTCCCATCCTTTTGACATTTTTCAGCGTCGTCAATAACAAAGACTCTTATTTGCCACTAATACAGTGGTACCTCGGGTTAAGTACTTAATTCGCTCCAGAGATCCGTTCATAACCTGAAACTGTTCTTAACCTGAAGTACCACTTTAACTAATGGGGCCTCCAGCTGCTGCTGCGCCGCCGGAGCACGATTTCTGTTCTCATCCTTAAGCAAAGTTCTTAACCTGAAGCACTATTTCTGGGTTAGCGGAGTGTGTAACCTGAAGCGTATGTAGCCTGAGGTACCACTGTACTGTTAACCTCAGCTACAACTTGATTACCTCCTCCCTAAGTTAACAAATGATTGCTTTCGCCACTTGCACAATGCAGATTGTATTTATTCCTTGCTCTGCTCTCAATAATGAAAAGCAAAGCCTATATCTATCTATCTATCTATCTATCTATCATCTATCTATATCTATCTATATCTGAGGTGCATTAAGAACCAGAGACATGAATTCAGGCCTGTTACTACTCTGCAGCCTTCTCTAACCTCGGAGGTGGATTTAGGGCACACAGCCTTGGGGCCCCCACAACTATTGTTTAGAATGGAGCACAAGAGGTAGGGGGGGGAGGAATTTTGGCGTTGGACAGGGCCACTGCTAACCTGGTGCCTTGCAGGTTGTCTACAACTCCCATCAACCCCAGCCAGCACACTGACGGGAGTTGGGAAGCTGCCCTAAAAGTTAAGCAATATTTTCTCCCAACACACTCAACTAGACTCCTATGTGCAACACTCAGGCAGCACCCTAAGGGTGATGTTTCTCCCACTTCTTGGCCAAACCACCCCATTAGCCACGAATTATGCATACAGTTAACGCAGACATGGGGGAACATGTGGCCGTCCTGTAGTCGCTGGACCAAAACTCCCAGCGACCCCTGTCAACATGGCAAGAGTTGATGGGAGCTTTGATCTATCCAACACCTGGAGAACCACAGCTTCCCTTTCCATGGCATAACTCGTATTAACGTTATTATCTGTACTGTGGCTGCGTTTGTACTGATTTCAGTCGTCCCACCCGCATTGTCACAGTAACACCTAACATAAACCTTCAGTAATCTGCAGTTCTAACCAAGGCCACCTTGTTCCCAAAGTATTACAATCACACACACACACAAATTATAGTTGTTCCCTTTTAAGTGAACACCTTAGGATCCACCCGTCCAGATATTGGACAATGACCCCCATCAGCCCCCGCCAATGGGAGCTTAGAATAAAAGGCACTTCAGATGGCAAGTCCCCAACACCCTGCTTCTTCACAGTCATTCCCTGCCATTCCCAAACCTGTTAAAAACCCTTTTAGAAGCTACCTAAATCTGGCATTAACAGTTAATGGGAAGACGCGCTAAGCCAGACTTAGTGGGAATACACACTAAGTCAGCTGGAAGTAGTCTTGGACAGAGACTCCCAGACCAATTTCTATTTTTCGAACTTCCACAACTGGTTTTTATCCTCTGCGTTGCATGTCCTCATCTGCACGTCAGCCCGGCCCTCGGCAGTGCGGTAAGCGCTAAGGCATTTTGCCGAATGAGGGTGATAAATGGTCCCGTCTTCTCTAAAATGCCACACAATGTTTTCTGGGATAGCGGAGCCGTCTTTCGGGCAGTTTCTCATGCCCACAAAATCCTTCTGGTCGGGAACTTCGGCGCAGAGCTCTGTCACGGAATTGAACCGGATTTCCTTATTCGATGTGTACTCAAAGAACTGGTTCCCTCCTTGCCCATGGCACCCGAAGAGGTTGACGTGGGCGCCAGTCGGGTTGTGCTCGGGAGAATTGTAGTCTAGGCACTCGGAAGAGATGCCCACGCTGCGGATGGCTCCGTGCCAACCAGGCCGGTCCTCTGGCACGTGCAAGTTCGGAAATATGTTCTTCAGGTACCAGTCGAAGTTCTGGCACTTCAGGCGCTGCCTCAAGAGCTTCCTTTCTGAGATGTCTCCGTAGTTCTCCTTCCGTGCCGGGGGATTCCTGTTGTAGAAGTGCTCTTTATACCCATCCATCCACACTTCCGCCGCCCGCGCCGTGTTCTGGAGGAAGTTGGGCCTGGCGTAGGGAGCGCGCTTGGGAAACACATGCCCCACGTGCGAACAGGGGTGGATCTCCAAGATGCCCCCGCATTGCCACACCCGAAAGGAGAGCTCCAGGTTCTCTCCTCCCCAGACGTCCATCCCCATGTCGTAGGTGCCTAGGTATTCGAAGTACTTTTTGCTGACGGCAAAGAGGCCCCCGGCCATGGTGGGCGACCTGATGGGGTCAATTTTGGACTTGCGCCTCTGACGCTCATAGTCGGGGACCGAGTGCCACTGGAAGGTCAGGCGCCAGTCAAAGCCCCCGATCATGGGCTCGGCCGACTGCATGTAGAACTCGAAGGTGTTCCAGTCGATGGTGTCGATGACGGGGCAAACCACAGTGCTCATGTTTTCGGCGATCCTCTCCAGCAGCGGCTCCAGCCAGCCGGGGACGCACTCGCAGTGGCAGTCGAGGAAGGTGAGGACGTCGCCGGTGGCAAAAGTGGCCCCGATCAGGCGCGCCCGGACCAGCCCTTCGCGCTTGTTGGTGCGGATCAGGCGCACCCTCTCCAGGCCGCTGACATACTTCTCCAGCTGGCCTTTGAGGTAGACCTTGTCGCTCAGGTCGTCCACCAAGATGATCTCCTTCAGCAGGACGGCCGGAGAGGTCTCCAGGACGCTGTGGACGGTGCGCAGCAAGGTGGACCAGGCCTCGTTGTAGAAGGCGATGACCACGGAGGTGGTGGGCAGCTGGCGGTAGCGGTAGGCCTTGGCCTTGCACTCGGCCATGCGCCCGTCCTGGATGTGGCGGTGCAGCGAGATCTTCTGGCTGAGGAAGACGTTGATGGCGTACTGCTCCACCAGCGCCTCCTCCTCCTTCTTCTCCTCAGGGCTCAGCTGCAGGTGGGCAGGCTTGCCCCACTCCCCGGGGGCCGAAGGGTCCGGCGGCGCCTTCTGGTAGACGGGGCGGGCCAGGTCTTCGGGCCGCTCCGCCCCGTCGGAGAAGCGCCTCTCCCCGCGAGGAGAGCGCCTCTCGCCGGCCGGGGGCGCCTGCAGGCTGGCCAGCGACAGCGCCACGGCGAAGAAGGCCACGGCGGCCAGCAGCGCCAGCGCCACCGCGCAGCCCCTGCCCGGACACGGGCCCCTCAGCCGGAGCCGCCGCATGGCGCCGCCTGAGGGAGAAGGCGAACTGCGAGGGCAGCGGCGGCGTCTCCTCAGGGGCTCCCAGTTCCGGGCTCGCTCCTTCCCGGATACGGAGCGCCAAACTCCGAGGAGGAGGAGGAGGCGGAGGAAGCGACCCACCCCCGGCCGCCTGTTCCTCCGCCTTCGCCGCGGCTCCTCGCGCCTCCCCGGGGCCAGGGCGCCCAGCGGTTCGCTCGCAAAGTTGTCCTTTAAAGGGAGGCAGAGGAGGCGGCGGCGAGCGAGGAGCTTCCTTCCCCTCCTCGCCCGCCTTTTCGGCCGTCCCACCTCCGGGCAACCGGCCACCTCCGTTCGCCTCAGCCGAAACTCCGCGCGCTCCAGCCGCGCCGCGCGCCCTTTCCCCGCCGCGCGCCCCGGCCGAAGGAACGCCGGCAGCCGTCGGGCTCCGGCTGGGGAAGAAGGGGCGCTTGAGGGAGGGGAGAGCGGTGGTGGTGGGGCGGCTGGGGGTGAGGGGAGGGAGCCCGGTTAGGGGGAGGACGACGACAACGGCGGCGGCGTCCGCCTCGCGTGGCCGGCGGAGCGCGAGGGAAACGCGCCCCGTCGCGGCTGCCCTTGCGAGGCGGCCGCTTGGAGAGAGAGAGAGGGGGGCCCTTTTTCGGCCCTACCTGCCGCGGTGGGCGGGGCCAGAGAGGAGGGGGCGGGGCCACAGCGCGACCCTCACCTTTTCCACGCTCCCAGGACATTCTATACAAGATCTCAAAGTAGCTGTTTTACTACAAAGGAATTTCAGAAATAGACTGGAAAGAGAAGCTGCTGAATTGCAACTCATTACCAAACTTAAAACCATGGAGAGACCTGGTCTGAACAAAGACATTGGATTCTTATCTCATTATACATGACTAAGCCATTTCTCACCTTCTCACCCCTTGCCTTTTCCTGTAAGACCTATTGCAGTCGTTAAGAGTCGTCAACAGGCTCATCTCAGCTATCTGCCAATCACCCATTCCCACCACCCTTCTGAGTAATACCCCTCCCCACCTTCTCACTATATAGAAGGATCTGGCAACTTCTGTTTCAGTGTATCTGAAGAAGTGTGCAATGCACACGAAAGCTCATACCAAGAACTAACTTAGTTGGTCTTTAAGGTGCTACTGGAAGGAATTTTTTTTACTTTTCCACGCTGCTAGCATCGCCTGCTTCTTGGGAGAAAAGCAATGACAAACCTAGACAGCATCTTAAAAAGCAGAGGCATCACCTTGCCAACAAAGGTCCGTATAGTTCAAGCTCTGGTTTTCCCAGTAGTGATGTATGGAAGTGAGAGCTGGACCATCAAGAAGTGAAACTTAGCTCAGCCAGGGGTTCAAACAGCCACAAATGATGACTTTAAACCCTGAGCAAGATTTCATTTATGAATCTCTAGCCGGAATTAAGATTGCCGGAAGAAATGTCAGCAACCTCAGATGTGCAGATGACACAACCTTGATGGCAGAAAGTAAAGAACCTTTTAATGAGGGTGAAAGAGGAGAGCGCAAAATATGGCCTGAAGCTCAATATCAAAAAAAGGAAGATCATGGCCACTGGTCCCATCACCTCCTGGCAAATAGAAGGGAAGACATGGAGGCAGTGAGGGATTTTACTTTCTTGGGCTCCATGATCACTGCAGATGGTGATAGCAGCCACGAAATTAAGAGGCGCCTGCTTCTTGGGAGAAAAGCAATGACAAACCTAGACAGCATTTTAAAAAGCAGAGACATCACCTTGCCAACAAAGGTCCGTATAGTAAAAGCTAAACGACTAAACAACAGCAGCACCAGCAGCACCGGGGAGCTGGAAAGGGACCCCGCAGGTCATCTAGTCCAACCCCTCACCGTGCAGGAATCGCAACCCTGGACTACCTGGGGCCCTTGCCATAGGAGCCAACTCTTGGGGCCCGAGGTCCTTGCGCCCCTCCCAATAAAAATATTTGAGGCATCTGGGGGGCTCCTAAAGTTGATGGGCATTGCCATTCAGAGAGAGAGACGTCATGTGTCATGTCATGTGATCATTATGTTGGGAGTGGCTTTCCTGCCCCCTCCCCCAATATTTTATTCAAGTTGGCACCCCTGGTCCCAGCTTAGTCCTTGCAAATGATTGCTTATTGTGGTTTTGCGTGTTGCACTCTGCCCTGCACTTTGAGAGGAACTTTGTTGTTGTTGTTGTATTAGAGACGTACTTGCCAGGCAAAAGAACTTGAGCCGTCAACGCGAACTTCCTCTAAATGCGATTTTCCAATGGAGTTAGTATCAGTCGAGTGCAAAGTCACCTCGCCATCTAGAGCTCAGAGATGCTATTGCACACGTTATGCTCGTGACTTGTGCAGCTGTTAAGGCACAAAAGTTGCAAGAGATGCCTTTGTCCCCCCTAGTTGCCCTCCAGATGTGTTGGACTGCAGTTCCCAAAAGCGGCTCGTGGAAGCTGCAGGCCAGAACATCTGTTGGCTTGCGGCTTATGGGAGTTGTCATCCAAAACATGGTTATTATGATAATTAACAAATTAATGTACTGTAACAAATGCCAAACTGGTTTTGAGGCAGATTACAAGCACAAAAACAGTTATAAAGCCCATGTGTAATAAACAGTACACAATAAAACAATTTCTTAAAAAACGTTAGAACACAACATTTTTAAAATACGCAATGAAGCAAGCCCACTAGAAAGTGTAGCAATTAAAAGAGCCATTAAAATGTCTGGAGGGCCCTAATTTGAGAAGCAGCAGGTTGAGAGGAGCTGAAAGATTTGGGACAGATAAAGGTTTGTCCTCATTCATGCAGCTCATAGTTAAACTGTAGAACTCATTGCCACAGGAAGCAGTGATGGCCACCAACCTCCTCCTCCTCCCTCCTCCTCCTCCTCCTCCTCCTCCTCCTCCTCTTCTTCTTCTTCTTCTTCTTCTTCTTCTTCTTCTTCTTTTTCCTTGGCATTCACTCGTAGCCGAGTAAGATTGTCTTCCATAAACACGGTTTTAACAGTGAGTCCGTAAGTGACTATGGAGGCCAATTCTGGAGTTCCGGGCGGGAGTTGATTCATGGTGTGGATTGCCAAGCGTGCCTTCCTCTTAGCACGTTTTCTCCTTGCGTCCTGTTCAAAGCCCATGACACCTTTGGTAAAGGCTGTTCTCCAACTGGAGCGCTCGCAGGCCAGTGTTTCCCAGTTGTCGGTGTTTATACTACATTTTTGGGAAATTTGCCTTGGGACAGTCTTTGAACCTCTTTTGTTGACCACCAGCATCACGCTTTCCATTTTTAAGTTTGGAATAGAGTAGTTGCTTTGGAAGATAATCAGGCACCCACACAACATGACCAGTCCAACGAAGTTGATGTTGAAGAATCATTGCTTTGACACTGGTGGTCTTTGCTTCTTCCAGTACACTGGCATTAGTTTGCCTTCACCTGTCTTCCCAAGCAGGCACCAACCTAAAGGGTAAAGGGACCCCTGACCATTAGGTCCAGTCGTGGACCGACTCTGGGGTTGCGGCGCTCATCTCGCTTTACTGGCTGAGGGAGCCAGCGTACAGCTTCCGGGTCATATGGCCAGCATGACCAAGCCGCTTCTGGCGAACCAGAGCAGCGCATGGAGACGCCGTTTACCTTCCCACCAGAGCGGTACCTATTTATCTACTTGCACTTTGACGTGCTTTTGAACTGCTAGGTTGGAAGGAGCAGGGACTGAGCAACGGGAGCTCTTCCTTTCACGGGGATCCGAACCGCCGACCTTCTGATTGGCAAGCCTTGGCTTGTGGTTTAACCCACAGCGCCACTCGCGTCCCTCAGGCCACCAACCTAGATGGCTTTAGAAGAGGATTAGACAA